AGAAGAGCTTTAAAACATCTTATATGGCGTGGTACTTTAATGATTCTGGTTGTATGTTTAGAAATCTTGATGGATAGCTGAATTCTTTATTTCTGCCTCAGATTTCATGAGCGGAGAAGAGAATTAGCCTGACCTGTGTAGGACCTGGCTCCTCTCCCAGAGAACAGCACAGGGGTAGCCCTGTCCCCTCAAGCATGCGCCCGGCTCTCTTCTCTCGTCACTGCAAACTTGGTGGGCTTTGTCCTTATTACCAGGCAGGAAGACAGTCATGAGAAGGAGTGGGGTAATTCCCATGCCCCACAGTGAAGGCTAGAGGGGGCTGGCATTGGGTATTTCCCATCCCCCAGGTCAGTTAGGCTTTTGTAAAACCCAAGTGTGTTATGCTCCCTTGGAATAGTTTTCCTTGAGGGAAGACCTTGTTAAGAATAGAGAATTCTGGATGTTTTAGAAAATGGTTAATTTTCTCCTCCCCCTCCTGGAGGCACAAAAAGATTTTTCTCCATCTTCTAATGAGAACCTGGTAGGGTTCCTGGAGGTAGAAGTCACAAAAGTGTAGGGACCCTCCCTAAGACTGGGCCTCCCTGGGTTTTTAAATTCTCAAGCTTGTCCTCACTGACCCTCCAGAAATTGGCCAATGACAGTTTAAAGTGTTCCTGCTGGTACTGGCTCCAGCGGTGGCTTCTGCTCCTGGGCAGAAAGCTGTGATTCTCTATCTGTCCATCTGTCTCTCCAGTTTTCAGGGCAGCTGTTTACCCTGTGACCCCAATTCTCAGATGGATCTAAGAAGAGCTGTTGATTTTCAGCTTGTTCAGTTTTTTCTTGTTGTGAGGATGAGAGTGATGACTTCTAAGCTTCTTACGTGTCAGACTGGAAAATACCTTTTCACACATGGGAAGGAAGTGAAGAAAAATTAAGTTGCTCTTTGTCTTGGTTGAGGTTCTTCTAAAACGACAGCCTGAGATAAGAACTTGGTGCAGTTAGTTAATGTGAAAGGTGATCCCTGGGGGCAGGAGCGAGGGATTGGGTAAACAAGTCAGGGACAGGAGCAAAGCCAATGAACAGGTGTAGCTTTAGCCTGCTTGTTTCCTGGCACTGGCCTGCAGTGGGGGTGGAAGGGTGGGGTGCATAAAGACCCTACTTTAATGCATCTTCACCAGAGCCTTGGAACAGAGCCAAAATAACTCTGGCTCTGGTTTTAAGACTGCCTGTGCTGAAAAAGAGGAAGTGGCTGTCAGGAATGGGAGTCGGGGGCTCTATGTGTTGGTGGCCATGACTGGCTGGGCAGCCTGGGGTTGGTCACTCTCCTCTAAGGGGCTTAGCTTTCTTCAAGCTCACAGGAGGTCTTTCTACCCAAAATATATTTTTATATATATATATTTGTAAATTTATTTTGTCATATCCCCAACATGGTTAAGAAAGACTTTATGGCAACTTACAAAGAAACATGCAACATAGCAACAACAACAAAAATAGCAAACACTTCTATTTGCTTACTAAGTGCCAATAACCATTTTTAAACTCATTCAGTCCTCACAACAGCCCTGTGAGATAGGCAGTATTGTTATCTCTACTTTTTAGTTGGAGAAACTGAGGCACACAGAAATTAAGGGACTTGTCCAAGGCCACCAAGATGGTAAGTGTGGAACTAGGACTCCACCCGGGCAGGCTGGCTCCAGATTTATGGTCTTAACTAAAAGGATCAGCTGAGAAGAGGGAGACATAGGAAAGTGAAGGTAGATGCTCCTTTACATACCTGTAAAGGTTTTTCCTGCTAGACTGTGCCCTGCTTGAGAATAAGGGCTGGCAGATTATAGGTATTTGATAAATGTGTTATTTGCTCTTTTGAAGACAACTGTTGAATTCTGCTTTCCCTTAACTCACTGGCTCCCTGTTGTAAGTAGTTGTGACTATCCATAATGTGCAGTGTAGGGGCAATGGTGAGGAGCAGAACAAGCCCCTTCCATTACATTCCAGGATGATGTGATTTCAATGCCTCGCTTCCCCTCCAGGCTGACCTTTTGCTGAGAAGTAGTCCTAACTAGAGCAGGAGTCCTTCCTAGGATGTGCCCAGGGGCCCCAGCCCAGGGAACGCTATGAAGAGGAGCAGCATGAAGACTCCCACTCAGATTCTCCATGCCTTCTGTCCTTTCTTCTACCATTAGCAACTCATTCCTTCTTTGGACATGCCCATGCTTTCATGGGATTTAGTGTGGCATCAGAGAAATTTGAGTCCTGGCTCTGCTACTTCTTAGACAGGTCATCCAAGGGTCTGGGAGGTGAAGAGATATCTGGCATCACCAACACAGAAGGGACTCCAGTCCAGAGCAGGAGAAATGGACTTAGGTTAGAAATCATCCAGTCTCATTAAAAATTTTCTGTATCTGTTCTGCATACACCTATAGAGTTTATGCTAACTAATCAGAGAGATGTTTAAAATATAAGTAAAATTATTGCCACATTGAGAACAACATTTCTTGTTTCTTGTTTCTCTCCTTTAACCAAACCAAGTCCCTTTATCCTCTTCCAGCCTCAAGCCAGAGTAACCATAGAAATAAATTATCAACTAGATGGCTGCCTCAGACAGGGCCTCCACCTCCTCTTTCAGTCCCACCGCCTCAATCTGTATCACTCATGTCTAGCCTCCTTTCTTCCCAAGCCTAAAATGTCCCCGAGAAGAACACATCTCTCTGTGTTAAGCTTTGTGCTAAACTTATTTGTGACTGGTCATGTGATATTCTGAAAATGGGTGCATACCTAAGATTACAAAAACTGTACTTCAGACCTAGTTATACCAAATTTATCTTGGCTTTGGTTTCTGCAACTTATAAAATAAGGGAGCTGGACTATTGCAGGAATGGCAAACAAGTTTCATCTCCCAATCAGTTGGTAGTGGCTGCCTAGAACACTGTGATAAAAGGGATTCTGAAGTTACACCCTAACGCAGAGAGAAGGGTGAGAGCATTGATTAGCAATGTCTGTCTTGGGCAAGAACAGGGGAGGGACAACAGTTGCCATCCCAGAATTAGATGATCCTGTAGATTCATTCCAGATCTGAACTGCTGAGAATCACAATTGGTGAAAGCCCAGAGGTCACCACATCACACTGTGTGACGTGGGTAAGTGACTTCCACACCTTGGTTCTCAGTGACATGGGAGGAAGGGGTCACAAGATTATATCCTGAGTCTCTTCCAACTACCGAGTTCTACGATTCCATCATCCTGGAGTCACAATGTCTTGGTACAAAGAAACAAGTGGCTTACTTGGATCTGTGGAGTTTTAAAAGGGCTGTAATTTCCTTCTCTTTCTTCTTTTTCTGGGTAGTGGTGGGGAAGGTAGCGGGCTTCCTCCAGCCCTGAAATCTCAATTTATATCCCTAGGCTCCCCACTCCCCTATCCATCGGATGAGGCTGGCCTGGAGCAATTGTGTATGCCAAAGGAAACGTGCAAAGCAGAGGCAGAGGGAAATGGGCAGGGAGTGCAGCGGACCAGTCAAGGCTACATTTTGGGAAAAAAGACCATTTGAGGAGTCAGGAGACAGGGGAGGTGGGCATGCTCTGAAGATAAAGGATGAAAAGGGTGGGCTCGTGTTCTTACACCCAACAGAAAATAGGAAAGAAAGGGTGGGAAAAAGTCCTATGCATGGTGGGGGCAGGTGAGCAGAGCTCAGAGCTGGAACAGGGGATGTCTGGGTTCTAGTTCTCTCTTGGCAGTAATTTTCCGTATAATCTTGGGCAAGAGACCTCTTTCCTCTGGGTCTCAGTTTTCTTATGTATAATAATCAGACGGAAAAGAGAACAGTTGATTCCTAAGGGCTTCCCAGTTCTAATATCTCGTAGGTCCAATTCCGAGTTCCTATAATTGTCTGTGTAGACAAGAGTTTCCTATATTGTCTGTGTAGACATAGGTGCCCTCAATGGGTAAAGTTATGAAAGCAGAGAGGGTTTGTATAGAGCAGAATATCCTGGGAGGGAGGGAAGAAATGGAGGATGTTTCTGCCTCCTAAACAGAGCAGATTAAATTCTAGAAAGCCTGAGGTGACTTAGGCTGATCCTGTCTGGGACACAGTAAATGTAGCGGGGCTTCCAAGGGTATAAGTGTCCTGCTTGTCTTATTTCCCCCATTAGAAAGTAAACTCCAGGGGGACAGAACTTACTTTCTAGAATCTCAGACTCTTTGAATTAGGAGTGACTTTAAAAGTTATCTAGTCCCAATCACTCACCCCATGAATGGGGATTCTCTCTATCCTGCCACCAAAAGACGGCTCCCACATCTGCTTGGATACTGCCCTGCAAGATAATTTACATAGCAAATGGCAGAGTTAAATAATCCTTTCATTCATCCTGGTGTCCTGTCCCAGCACCCAGGAGACCTCACTAGACTAAACCACTAGGTCAGGGTTTCCAGATGGTTCCTCTCTCACTGGCTCCAGAGCAGCAGCCTGGAATCTGAAATGCCAGTCTCAGCTTCTCCTCAGGGAGAGAGGTGAGTGGAGACATGGCGTGTTTTGGAGTCGCTCAGGCCTGGGTTCAAGTCTCACCTATATTGCTTACTAGCTGGGTGGCTTTGGGCAAGGTACCCCAGCTCTGTGTGCCTTCACCTGCAAGATACCAGGAATAATCCCCCGCCGGAGACTGCGGTGAGGATTCTTCAGGTGCATGAGACGAGTGTTGGCCACATGCTCCTCCCACTTACTCCCTGTGTCTGCATGAGGATATGAGCATCTCTGGGGGTAGGAACTATTTCTTATCCCAGTGCCGAGCACAGTGCTTTGCCTAGTGTAAAAATAAGAGAAAACTAAGATAAAAGCTAACGTACAGGTGCTCCCAGAATCTAGATCAGAGCTCCATACTCAGAAGTCTCTTAGCAAGGCCTGTTCACAAACTAGGAAAACTCTGCTGCCCCCTGTCCTCAGAAAAAAGATTTGTTCTGTGTTCACAAACTATCGGAAACAGTCAAAAAAACAGCTGATATGGAAACTGAAACTGAAACCTCTTGCTAGGTGTTGAGTAAAACGAAACTTACTCACCAAACATGGACTCCCAGTCTCAGAGGGAGAGAACGGCTTTGGATGTTGGGACATGGGAGCAGATATTCCAAGAACTGATGCAGCAGGTGAAACCCCAGGCCAGATGGACCCTGAAGTTGGATGGGAACCTTCAGCCAGACTGTGTGGCCCAAGGGTGGAAGCAGTACCAGCAGAGAGCATTTGGCAGGTGAGTGAGAGTTTGCCTGGCAAGGGGGTTCCTGGGCACAGAGGCTCAGCTCAGCACTGATTGATTTCTTTGAAGTCTTGTTAAAAGGATAACTGTCACCAGGCTCGCCATCCTTTTGCAGTCAGTGTTCTTTAGGATCTAAATGATCAGGCTCCAAGTCTCCATTTTACCTAACTGCAGGAAGTTTCTTCTTTTACTAGGTTTCCTCCCTAAATATTTCTGGAAATCCCTAAAGAATGCTTCCACGTTCCATAAATCTGCCCTCCAATTCTCTCACCACTTCATTTGTTCCAGATTGTCTCTATCCAGCATCTTCCACTATCTCCCTCATCTGTCCTGACTGGCTTCTCCAGGCTGCAGGGGCCCCATTAGTGGTAGCCCTGTTTAGTATCAGCCTGGAACTAGGGCCTTCTTTTAAAGCCCCATGAGTTGACTAAGGCCAAGCAATCACTTTGAGCATTTCTTCACTGAAGGCCTGGGGGTAGTAGGAGGGAATGTTGCTGAAAGAATGAAATCTAAAACTTAGTTCCCGGAGTGCCTAAGTAATGCCCCTCCTTTATTGGCTATCTCTTTCTTTAACCCCCAGCGAACATCCGAGTTACAGCAACCAGCTTCCTTGCCCACGTCAGGAGGATGAGAATTGCTGACCTGGACAATCAAGTCTTCTCTTTTTATATCGCACACAGGAACCTTTGCTCGCCTTTCCATTTCACTTGTTGTCCTGCTTCCCTGCCTGCCCCTATCATGCCTCAGGTGTCCTCTGCTCTATGCCTCACCAATGATTAGCTACGCCATGCATTTTCAGACTTCTATACCCTTGTCTATGAGGTTCTGCCTCTTTGGTAGAACCCCCTTCTCTCCCTACACCTTTTTCAAGGACCAGCTCAACTGCTACCTCCTCCTTAAAGCATTCCCTGGTTTTCCTAGGCAGAGTAAGTGTTCCTTCTCCATTCCTATAACATAATGGTTTTATATATATGCATATACATATTATACATATATAATGTATTTATAAATAACAAATATTTATATATTACATATTATAGAACATATATATTTATATATAATTATTTTTAGCTGCAGAACCTATTGTTTAAGTGAAGCCTCCTGGGGCTCTGCAGAACATAGTTTTCAAGCCACTGGCCAGAGCCCATGTAGCAGTCATTCTGTTCTGCTTTGTAACCCAGTGAGCTGTGTAAGTGTCTCTTCCTGCACCAGTCAGAGCTCTTAGAGGGACTCATGATGTCTTTTATCAGTTTGGCACTCCTCCAAACAAGAAGATGCTTCTCTTGTTCAAATGAATTGATTTGATAGTCATTCTGAGATGGGAAAAGCAACCCACCTGCATATTTTTGGAAAAATATCAACTAGCTTTTGTAAAGCATTTTGTGGTTTACAAAGTGCCTTCACATATACTATCTCATTTAATGCTAACAATATAACCTTTGAATATTTTTCATTTTGTAGATGTAAAAATTGAGGCTTAGAGAAGGAAAGTGCTTTTTCCAAGGTCCCTCTGATGTAAACTATGGACTTGGGTCTCCAACCCAAGTATTATGGCTCCAGGTCCTAAGGCAGTTTCTCTAGGTGCAAGACTAGCCATGTTGCTCATGAGACGTGATGTGGTGTAGTACGTAGATAAACAAGGTTTGTTTCAAATGGCTTGGGACTGGAAACATGGCTCTACCACTTACCTTGTATGTCCTATGCCTAACTCAGAAGGGTGCTTTAAAGATAAAAAGGGATGACGTTGTAAAGCACCAATACAGGGTCTGCCTCAAAATAGGTGCTTTATAAGAGTCTTCTGTGACCATTGTGAGGACCAAATTTTGCTGGCAGATGACAGAAACATTCTTCCCTCTGAGACATCCAGAGATGTTTTATGGACAAAGAGGAAGACTTGTGACCACATATGTGTGGAAGCTCAGTGGATCACAGGAAAAAGCTTTATTAGAAATGCAGTCCTGCTCATTCCTATTTATCAATTCGTCAATATCACATGCACCTTTTCAAATTGAAAGGGATCTCAGAGACCGAGGCCAGGCCCATTTCCCTCAGGGCAACACTCACTTGAGGGTGCAATAGGTTTCTTCCTCTGCCTGCAGGTTTTGGTGTTCCTCGTGCCAGCGAAGGTGGTTTTCTGCCCAAGTGCAGGTCCTGTGTCACATGCACCTGGAGCACCAGAAGTCCCAGGGCCAGGTGCTTATGCGGCTCTTTGCTCAGAGGTGCCGGAAGTGTTCCTGGTCTCGATTTGAGAAGCCCGAGTTCTCCCAAGATAGCACCATGAGGATTCTGAACAACCTGGTGCGGCGTATTGTGGAGAGATTCTACACAAATAGCATCAAGAACACTTCAGAGATACCAGTGAAGCTGGAAGTACCTTTGGAAGGGTCGCATGACATGATCAATTGTGAGGCATGCTCTCTGGGCTTCTGTGTACGGGGCTTACAAAACTGCATGACAAAGCCATCTGAATGCCCTCTCTCCTGCATGGAAATTGGGAGTTCATCGCCTCACACTGGTGATGTGTATGGCCCAAACCGAGCCAGGAACCAGTCGCCTGAGGCAAAAAAGGCTGAGAGGAATGAGTATTCCTGTGCCCAGAAGATGTCAGGGCCCAGCCATTCCACTGTTGGGATCCAAGTGCCTGGGGCGAGCCCTCAGCCCAAACAGGAGACGGTGCAACAGCCCACACTAGGGGCAGACAGGCAGGCCACACGGGGAACAGGCCTACAGCCTATCAAAGTAGCGGGATCACTTCCCCAAGGGTGGACAGACCCTCAGCCCATACAAGCAGTACATCAACTACCTACAGGCAAGGCAGATTCACAATCCATTCTGAGGAGAGAACCACAGGCCCCCCGGAGGACATACTCTCAGGCTGTAAGGAGGGCAGGCCAACAGTCGATACAGGAGGCATGCTCACAAGCCATACAAGGGGCAGCTGTTCTGGCCACAAGGGAGACAGACCCACAGCCCACACGAGGGGCAATCCCCAGGGTCATATCGAGGTTAGAACCTCAGGCTACAGGGAGGGCAGGCCCCCCACCACTGGAATCAAACCCACAGACCACACGGGGGGCAATCCCCAAAGCCACATCAGGGTTAGACACTCAGGCAACAGGGCAGGCAGGCCCCCCACCACTGGAGTCAAACCTGCAGACCACACGGCGAGCAGGCCCCATGGCTACATGTGGGTCTGGGACCAGTGGAACTCAAGTTGCCCGGGGAAGGCAGGAGAGGTGTTTACCCAGACGGCCTGCTCCCGACAGCTTTTTCAGACCTGGTCCCTCAATGCCACAAAATGACTTTCTTGATCATGGTCAGTTGATCAAGTGGGGCTGTGCCTGTGTTGTTGCTCTGTTTACCTTTCTTGTACGCAGATACTTATAAGTAGAATGATGAAAATAGGCTTGTATTCTTCTTTTTTCTTGTCTTAATTCCATGGTAATCAATGTACTGGTTGCCATTTTAATATGACAGAGAATTTGCTTTGAAACCAAGCAAGGTCACATTTGTAGAATAAGTACTGGTGTCATGGACCTCCTTTGCAGATAGTCTAAAACATGACCTAGCAGATAATGGATCCAATAATAAATATTTGTTGAATCACTAAAAGGTCTTTGTTCATTCATTCATTCATTCATTGGTATCAATATATATAGACCATACCTTGATAAGAACTGAAGGTCATGAGTGTTATCAGAAAGTTATTGTGGTAGGCTGAATAATGGTCCCCAAAGATGTCCATGTCCTAATCTCCAGAACCTGTGAATATGTTAACTTCACATAGCAAAAGGGACTTTGCAGATGTGATTAATCCAAGGATCTTGAGATGGGGAGATTATCCTGCATTATCCAGATGGGCCCAATGTAATTACAATGGCCTAATAGGAGGGAGGCAAGAGGGTCAAAGTCAGAAAAAGGAGATTTAACAGTGGAACCAGAGGTTGGAGTGATGTGCTTTGAAGATGGAGGAAAGGGCCAAGGAAGGCAGGCAGCCTCTAGAAGCTCACAAAGGCAAAGAAACAGATTCTCCCCTAGAGCCTTTGGAAGGAACCAGCTCTCCTGACACATGACTTTAGCCTAGTGAGACTGGTTTTGGACTTCTGACCTCCAGAACTGTAATATAGTCAATTTGTGTTGTTTTAAGGCACTAAATTTGTGTTACAGAAGCAATAGGAAACTAATTCAGTCATCAATATCACTGCAGGGATCGGGCAATGATGTTTAGGTATGCTTCAGTTTTAACAACAACAAAGAGCATTTTATAAGTTAGAAATATCGATATACCTATGCTCTCTTTTTCTTCCTTCTCTCCATCTTAAACCCACTCAAATGTTCCCATCCTAAAGAGATTCCTTTTGATTTGGTGACCCCCTGGAGCTGTCATATTCTCTCACTTCTTCCAGGATCGGATTGGGAAGCACGTAAAAACTTGCCAACTCTGAGATCTTGTGAGGCACAGCGACATCTTTCACTCCCTATTTCCATCTGTATGCTAGGCATCTCTACATGGCTCTCACACTGCCATCTCTACATTACCCTGTTTAAAACCAAGTTCATCAGCACCTCTGACTTTCTTGTTCCAATTTTCCCCAGTCACTCCAGCTTATCACCTCATTTTCCCCAGTCACTCCAGCTTATCACCTTAGAGTCCTCTTTAACTTCTCCTCCTCCCTGTCACCAACACTTACTGCCCCTTCTTTTGTCAAGTTGCTCCTGTTTCTTCCCACTACTTTTCCTTATCAACCCCTCTCCCCAACCAGTTCAAGAACTTGGATTATTGAAATAACTAGGGGATCTGGATTTTACCCTATAGGAAAATTGTAAGCATTTGAGGATATGAACAATTTGAGTAGAATCACATTTTTAAAATACTATATATTTTGGGGAAGAATGGAGTACAGAATAGAAATAGTGAGGAGTCAACACAGAGAGGGGCTCCTATAGACAATAAATGTCTTGAAGGAATTTGAAGACAGTGAAACGTAAGGGGCCAGAAAACCCAAGGATAAAAATATTTCCTTTTTTTCTGGCCATCACTTTTCATTTCCTTTCAGGCCCCTCCCACCAGCACCCTCCTTTTATAGATGCCCCCCTCCCCAGACCACCCTACTGAATTTCTGCATTCCTCCTGTTTTCATACCTTTTTGGTTCTTTCACAAAGAACATTGGCCTGGGGACTACAGAATTTGTTTCCAGGCTAGTGATGTTGTATGACTTCAGGCAAGTCATTATCCCTCCCTGGGCCTCAGTTTCTCTCTCTATAAAATGTCTTCTAATTAAACTTAGAGGAGTAACACATGCATTTCCCTGTGATCTCTCTTGGAACCCCCCTGAGTGACAGTAAAAGGGAAAAGGCATCTATACACAAGGGCAAAGAGATTGGGTGGAAGCTAGAAAATGGATGGACTGGTGATAGGTAACTGACGTAGCAGAGTAGAGAGATCTGGAAGAGAAGTAGGCAAGGGAAAACCAAGGCACAAGGCAATTCATGTGGCACAATTTCAGATTGGCTCAAAAACTATAGGCAACAAGTAGCTCTGAAGGTGGGTACTGGGAAGGCAGAAGTAGGAGGACTGCCAAAAGCCTTTATAACAAGTTTCTTTCCCCCACTCCTAGGCAGCCTGGCGCTCTTAACTCACTCCAGGGAGCAGGATGGAGGTTTATTCTCTGAAGACAGTCACCCAGAGGGACTCTGGGCTCAGGGACTCAGGCATGGCTAAGGCAGGGAAGAGCCACCCAGCAATCAGAAAGATAGTGGAAGTCTACACATTGATTAGTGGGAGCCCTTAGCCCACTCCCAAACCTAGGAGCCAGACTTATATTCTATCCACCCCTCAAATACACAGAAGAATGGGCAGTTCTTCTTCGGGAAAGCTGATCAGCTCAAGAGAAGAAAAAATACTTATACTAAAATGAGGGGAGGGAGCTTCCTCCAATGGAATGACTAACTCAGATAGCCCCAGAGTAAACACATCAGATGCTAAACCCCACAGATTCTAGTCAGCTTTTCAGTGTCTCACATTTGCATTTGGACAGACTGCCAAGGGATTATCAAATATTTGATAAACTCCCTAATGTGAAGGCAAAGAAAAAAAAAAAGGAACTCAGAGGAAACAGAGGTGATTCAAGGATAAGAAAACAAACCAAAAAATATTTAAAAAGTAAAACTATTATTTATACTCAGAGAGATAAGATAAGGTATAATATTCATGAAAGAAAAATTGGACATGATCTGGGGCTGGCCCCGTGGCCTAGTGGTTAAGTTGGGCGCACTCTGCCATGGTGGCCCGGGTTCGTTCCCAGGTGTGGACCTACACCACTCATTGGCGGCCATGCTGTGGCCATGACCCACATACAAAATAGAGGAAGATGGGCACAGATGTTAGCTCAGGGTGAATCTTCCTTAAGCAAAAAGAGGAAGATTGGCAATAGATGTTGGCTCAGAGCCAATCTTCCTCACCCTCTCCTCTTCCCCCCAAAACAAAAATTGGATGCCATCCTCTGGGACAACCTTGGGTGAGGCAGCTGCCTTTGGCTGGAGGCAAGTCCTTGGGAGGGTCTCAACTACAAGCCTTCAACAGGCAATGCTCCCAGAAGCTGGAGGAATGAGTGTCCTAGTTTTGAAAGAGGGGATCTGGGCAATGCACAGCTTCCACTACAATCCACATCCTGCATCACTTGCTTGATATAAAAAGTTCACTGCATCTGGGAAAAGACCTTCCAGGATTCTTTTCCTGTAGAAAGGTACAAGAGGAAAGTTATGGATAAACCAAGCCCCCACGACTGTATCTGGTCTTGGAATGGAAACTGGATACTCATGATCTACCTTTTCCACCCATTCTTGATTCCTCTTACCCTGGCACCTCTGCTGTTTAGGTGGCTTAACTGATGGGGTTATCTAGACCTTCATCCTTGAGGAGTTGAAGCCCTTGGTCACAAGGCCTTTCTCAGACTGTGGTGTCTGCATTTGCCCATCCACTGTCAAAATTGGACAGGGAAGTACCAAGAGATGCCCCAGTGGATCATTTGAGTGCCAAATATCCACTGTGCACAGCAGTCCTATTTTCCTCTGATGATCAGGAGAGTGATTCTTTTTCTTGCCTGTTGGTCTATCGGCAAAAGATCTCTAAAATATCCAGCCATTAGCTGGTGATGGGGTTCTTGCTGTCTTCCTTAGTGGAAGAATTCACCATCTAGGATCTCCAGATCTGCAGAACCTTGAGTGTGGCGATGGGACACACAAAAACGGTGACTGATTTAATGTGAGTGATGGTAAACAGGGTCACTCGTACTTTCACTTCTTGATTTCCAAACCCAAATATTCTACCTATTGGGAGCACAACATATAATGGTCATTGATTCAGGATGTATACTACATCCTGGTGGATGGTGACTCATCCTTACAAGATAGCATCTCCAAGCTGCACAAGAGCTGCATTTTTAAGAGGCTATATCATTGTTCTATCAGTCTGGCAGCTTCTGAGTGATGCTGTATTTGACAAAACCAGGAAATCTCATGACCTATTCACCTCTGCTGTAACTGTTATGCTACAAATTTGCTCATTTAACTAATGTGATATTATGTGATATATTAGTTTTACAGGGTTGTGAAAGAGAATCTGTTCCATGCCTCTCACTTAGCTTCTGGTGGTTTGTTGGCAATCTTTGGAGTTCCTTGGCTTATAGAAGCACAACCCTGATCTCTCGCTTTACCTTCACATTGGGTTCTTCATATGTACATGTCTGTGTACAAATTTCCCCTTTTTATAAGGATATCAGTTATATTGGATTAAGAGCTCATCCTACTCCAGTATGACCTCATCCTAACTAATTACGTCTTCAACAACACTATTTCCAAATAAGGTAACATTCCGAGATACTAGGAGTTAGCACTTCAACAGATAAATTTTGAGGGGACACAATTCAATCCATAATATGTGAGATCCTGAGTTTGAGACAAAATACTCCTCAAGTCCTTGGAGTCATGCTGGCTGAAGTCCCGCAAGCAGAAAATACAAGCCTATATCTGGAATATGTGCTGATTCCAGTCAAGATGAATTACTATCCCCTCCAAGTTGGAAAGGGTATAATGTAATCAACTTGCCTCTGAGTAGCTGGCTTTTCTACTCAAGGAATGATACCATACTGAGGACTCATCTACTGTTGGCAGATTGGACATTCAGCAGGTATTATCTATATCAACCTCAGTGAGCAAAAACCCATGCTGTTGGGCCCATGCATAGCCTCTATCTCTACCCCTATGGCTACTCCATTCATGCACCCATAGTGCCAGTACTGGAGTGGCTGAAGACAGAGGCTACCATCATTAACTGGCTAAGACATTCTGTCTACTTGGTTGTTTAGTGCCTCGTCCGTGTGGGGTGCTTTCTAGTGAGCATTAAAATAATACATAGAGACTTTCCCATTTTGTGCCCACCCTTAAAGATCTATCCAATTCTTCTTTCCCAA